CGTGTAGTGAGCACGGATTTGTGTGCACGGTAGATGGAAAATCTGAAACGGCCATTCTATTCTAATATAAATTCTATCTAAAATGCTTTAGTTTGCCTCTTTAAAACGAAAACCGGCCGAAGATATTCGCCCTTCAATATCCCAACAATTCACTTCGTCGTAAGGGAAATTTCAGGAAACACTTAACCTTTCGCAGAAATTTGTGTGCACGGTAGATGGAAAATCGGAGAGCGCCATTCAATTCAGCATAAAATTCCGCTTTATTCCATTGTAAGCTTCTATAATCAATTATATATAGAAAACATTTTATCGCGTTCATACCTCCAGCTGACGATAGAATTTCACTTAGTTTTCTGACAAGCGGAAATTATCGTCGGGCGTATACTGAGCACAGTTTTGTGTGCACGGTAGATGGAAAATCTGAAACGACCATTCTATTCTAATATAAATTCTATCTAAAATGCTTTAGTTTGCCTCTTTCAATCGAAAACCGGCCGAAAATATTCGCCCTTCAATATCCCAACAATTCACTTCGTCGTGTAAGGGAAATTTCAGGAAACACTTAACCTTTCGCAGAAATTTGTGTGCACGGTAGATGGAAAATCGGAGAGCGCCATTCAATTCAGCATAAAATTCCGCTTTATTCCATTGTAAGCTTCTATAATCAATTATATATAGAAAACATTTTATCGCGTTCATACCTCCCAGCTGACAATAGAATTTCACTTAGTTTTCTGACAAGCGGAAATTATCGTCGCGCGTATACTGAGCACAGTTTTGTGTGCACGGTAGATGGAAAATCTGGAACTACCATTCTATTCTAATACAAATTCTATCTAAAATGCTTTAGTTTGCCTTTTTCAATCGAAAACCGGCCGAAGATATTCGCCCTTCAATATCCCAACAATTCACTTCGTATGTAATAGAATTTTCAGGAAACGCTTATCCTTTCGCAGAAATTTGTGTGCACGGTAGATGGAAAATCGGAGAGCGCCATTCAATTCAGCATAAAATTCCGCTTTATTCCATTGTAAGCTTCTATAATCAATTATATATAGAAAACATTTTATCGCGTTCATACCTCCCAGCTGACAATAGAATTTCACTTAGTTTTCTGACAAGCGGAAATTATCGTCGCGCGTATACTGAGCACAGTTTTGTGTGCACGGTAGATGGAAAATCTGGAACTACCATTCTATTCTAATACAAATTCTATCTAAAACGCTTTAGTTTCCCTTCTTCATACAAAAACTGGCCGAAGATATTCGCCCTTCAATATCACAACAATTCACTTTCTTATGTAATAGAATTTTCAGGAAACACTTATCCTTTCGCAGAAATTTGTGTGCACGGTAGATGGAAAATCGGAGAGCGCCATTCAATTCCCCATAAAATTACGCTTCATTCCATTGTAAGCTTCTATAATCAATTATATATAGAAGACATATAAAAAGCCAAGGGTCATATTTTGTAAAACATTTCATGTTTTTTAATATATTGTCGAGGCAAGAAATTTGCGATTAATCAATCGTCCTGATCAGCAATTGAAAAGGATTAGCATTGACGTCAAGAGCCAATTTTTATCATACCATTCCTTGACTGTGGCATTTCCTATACGATAACGCCTACATGAAACCACTCGAATATACTCGGGATCACTGCAATTTGCAAAGTTGGTCTACCTAGCTTATCAACAACTTACAGTTGGACTACAAAGATATAGTCGTTGGATATGCATGTACCTAACATCAGTTGACGGTGAATAGCAATAATTCTAATTATTTCTTTTACCTGCAAATGTTTAAAAAAATTTCTAATACAAGTTGAATCACTCGAATGTAGATTGACCAAGATTTAATCAAGGAAAATTCAGCGCATGACGTACCATGATATTTCTTATTTATTCCCATTTATTTTCATAAGATCACTGATTCCTAGCTCAAGTAATACAAGCATACCAGTCATGTTTTAAAACTAAAGTAACAAAGTACGATGATGAACTTGCATGTGGTCTTGGTCCTCTACATGCCAAAATTAACACCCGAACTATATAGCGTATCACTTATTTACTGATGT